TTTAACGTAAAATTAAATTTTATGAATTTTATTATAAATTTATTTTTCCAAATAAAGTGTTCATTAAAAGGGAAAGTTGTTGAATGAGAAGCCGTGTTGTCCCGAGTGGTTGCCTCCCTGGGAAAAGGTGTAGTGGAACGGGCCCTGACTCGAACTGAAACCACCGCCCGGTGCTCCCGAACTCCAAAACGCTTGGAACAGATTGTTGGGGTCGATATCAAAGCCGCCGTCCATTCCGTTGCCGTCCAGATCCATACCGTTATCATAGCGGGACCTCTTCTTAGGGTCGGTCAGCACAGCGTATGCCTCACCCACTGGACGGACAATACAATCAATTAGCAATCGATACAACCAAACACTATATGAGTCAATGCATACCCTCTTTGAACTTCTTCTCCTGTTCCTTCTTCTCGGCTTCGGAAGCGTTGGTGTGTCTGTCCGGATGGTGTCTCAGTGCAGCCACTTTGTAGGCCTTCTTTAGGTCGTCATCGGTGGCCGTCTTAGAGACGCCCAGAATTTTATAGTAATCTTTTCGTTTAGACTTTTTGAGCTCTAGTTTCGCGTTTTCTAGAAGTTGTTTGTGTTCTGAGAGAATAGAAATCAATGCAATCATTAGTTCGCAAATCATTTCCTATTCAATGCAATCGTTTATTGATAACAAACCTCTATTTTTCTCCCTCTTCAGGACAGTCTCGTAGTCACGAACCGCTTCTTCGTATTGTTCGGAATCCATATATAATTTAGCTCTTCTTAAGTAGGCTTTGATGTAATTGTCGTCTAACCGGATGGCTTGGGAACAGTCATCGATGGCTTCCGGAAGTTTTTTGAGCTATTCGTTCGTTCAAATCAATTAGACTTCTCGTGAAAACACGAAATAAAGACATTTAATACCTTTGCGTAAGCGATGGATCGGTTGAAGTAAATCTTGGCATTTGTTAAGCCATTTAAGGGGTCAGTCGTGAGAGCGCTGGTATATATTCTGAGCGCGTCGTCGATCTTATTCTCTTTGATGGCATTATTTCCCTCCTGTTTCTGAGCCAACAGTTGTTTCGCTTTCTTATAGACCTGTTTCGCGCGTTCGTGGTCTGGATTTAAGACCAACACCTGCTGGAAGTGCTGGAAGGCTTTGTCCACGTTATCCGTGTAGTACAGAGCCATTCCTCTGACGTAAATGGCGTCCGCATTGCGCGAATCAAATCTTAGGATATCGTTCACTATTTCCTGCCCTTCGCTGTGTTTCGACAGTAATACTAAACACTCGGCTTTGATTAACTTAAAGGCTGTGCATTGGGTGGCGATCTCCAGCGCTTTCTTGATGTTGAAGAGCGTCGACCGGTAATCGCTTTTATCGAAATTCCTCTTCGACTCATTCACATACTTGTCCAACAGGTCTAAGTTCTTCTTTTCCGTAGCTAACGTAGTATTGTTTGGTTCAATGGATTTGACGGTTTCGAGACAACGGGCGGCAGAAGCGATGTCACCAAACAGTAAATGGCATTTCGCTTCCCTTAGGTATCCTTTCATGAAAGTCGTGTCCAATTTGGTGGCCTTTTGGATGTCGGCGAGCGCCTCCTTATACTTGTAGATCATCATCAGACAGGCCGACCGATTGCCGTAATAGGAGGCGATGTTTGGACATAAATCTAATGGTTTCGCATAAAAAGCATTTAATTAATTTCAATACAACAAAACTAATTATTCAAAACTTGTTTTTCGGTTATTTTAATACTGAACTCAATTTTATCAATTTTAGTGTCAAATCAAATTAAAGTACATTTTTATAATTAGACAATAAATCAGATTTTAATAGGAAGTGGAGATTCAATTCAACTCCAAATACTATTCTGTGATACAATTTATGCACTATTTGTTGGTCTCCTCATTAACATTGAAAACCAAATTGAGTTCAATATAACTAATAAAAGGTATGAAAATATAGTCGAAATACAACTCATGCAAGAAATAAAAGCCGTCCACTAATTGCTGTAAATTCAAGACTAGTCTAATAAAAGCGATTCATTAGAAGTGATTTATATTCAATTTACTATTAATTATAACAGTATTGAGTGTTTGCGATAATTAAAGCACACAATTGAGTGCCACAATCAAAGACATACCGATTGCCGCCGAATATTGTTTGAAGGCTTCGTTGTATTTCTTCTGTTTGTAGAGTTTGTTTCCCTCCTCTTTCTTGGACTCCGCGATCCTATCAATCAATGCATCACAACATTAGCCATCGATTTATGCCATAAATACAATCATACATTCATTAATGAATACTAATCTACAACTCATTAATGAAATCTTTTAATTACGCTAATGTAACATAATATCTTTATTAGGTAGTTTTCGTAGTTTTCGTTGTGAAGTAATTGTAAGAACTCTAATGAACAGTAAATTAATAGCTGCTTTTCTCATTATAAGTACTAAACACGTTTTTTCTCGTGTTTAGACTTTTTTTCATTATATAATATATAAGACACCCATCGAAAACACTTTTACTTAATTAAACATTTGCACAAAATCTCAATTAAGCAAAACCTTTACAGTCATGATATCCGCCCTTAATTAACACACTATTCACACCATTTTAGTCGATTTTAAGCAAACAAAACAACAAAATACCTAAACTTTTTCGAGTCTTCTCGGACGGGATGCCGCGGAGGGCTTATGTGAATCTCTTTCATGCGAACGAACGGCGCCTCAAGAATAACCCGGTGCTGAGGACTGGTAGCCTTATTCTCATCGGTCGTTTGGTCACCATTTGATTGGACAAAATGGTTGCGACGACTGATGTGTTTGGGTTCAGAGCGAACAGAATTGACACTTCTTTTGGGCGAAGAAGTGGTTGTGTTGTTGCGATCATTAGGTGCTATGGTTTGAGGACTCGTCTCAATGGACACCTGTACTACTCTACAAAGTACAGTATAGCTGTAATTACCGTGAGTTCAGTACAGAATAGAGGCACTGTATGTATGATGTAATTGTGTTAATGAAGTCAAGTGGGGAACGGGTTGGCAGTACTCATACAACCATTGCATTGCATTCAACCATTAGTTGGGAATCGGCTTTAAATACCATTAAAAGTCTGTAAAAACTTTATCTAACCCTTTGTGGACACTCATACTGACCACAGTATCAAATATAGTGAGGCCTTCAACCAAACTTCTGTGCCCTCCCTGTCCTCAGCATTAATGCACGTAATTATTGGATGTGTTGTGAAGTCTTTTGAGTGAGTAATCACTGTGTGAGTGATTGGTGTCTATTGTGGTGTCGTCTTGGGATCAGCTAATCGACCAAAGCCTAGCATCTAATGTCCACTCAAGTGGATCCACGCCTCGTGAACGACGTGGACATGGACTCGGAGGACGAGGTGGAAGTGATTGAACAGATAATCCGCAAATCGCCCGAAGAGTAAGTAGTGTCTCATGTCTTCAATGTATTCATACATTCATTTCAAACGCATTTCACATAACATGACATGAAATATGAGGTCATTATTGAGGTCTCCATACGAGCGGTGCTGAAGACGTCAATTGATTTTGATTTGCACTTAATTGTAGCTTAAGTTATGCCTAATATGCTAGTGTGAAATGTACTGGCTCACTTGCTTATTGCTTATGGTGTCGGTGCGAAAGGGCACGTAAATTGTGATTACATAACGCAAAGTATTATAAACCGCATTTTACATAACTTAACTTTTAGCTACTAATCTAATGTCGTATATACGTCAGTAATATTCTAAATAAAGGAAATTATGCTATATAGGAGATTTTTAGGTAATGTTATGTGATGTATGGCATCCAAGCTAACCATCAAATGCTGTGTTTTATTTGCTTTTATTGTTTGTTTTATAGATTTACGGTTATATACGTGGATAGCAATTGTCTTACACTTTAAACTTTAAGGCAATTATTAATATAAAGCATTCATTAAGCAAAACAAATAATTACTTTGAAATTCAGTACTATTTTCAATGCCAATGAAGTTGTTGTTAATCAATGCAAACATAGTTTTTATATCTAATTAAATATCTAATCATTTTTATTTTGGTTTCAATTTCTCTGTGTTGACGATCAGTATAGCAATGATTTGAACATTTTTCGTGAAAAGTAGTTTTGTTTGCATTTTTCGTATTGACTTTTTGGTAGTAAAAAGTGATTTGTGTCTGTGTTTTGGCATAATTTCTATCAATTATCATNTCTCTGTGTTGACGATCAGTATAGCAATGATTTGAACATTTTTCGTGAAAAGTAGTTTTGTTTGCATTTTTCGTATTGACTTTTTGGTAGTAAAAAGTGATTTGTGTCTGTGTTTTGGCATAATTTCTATCAATTATCATATAATCCGAGCGATCGGTTCGTTGACTCAACGGATGGGTTGACGTCCCGTGCGATCGCCTCTGAAGAGCCAAATGATGACTCATTTGTTGGGATCAATGAGTGCATCACTCGGAGGCATGACTTCCCATCGGCGCAGCCATACGTTTGGACACGAATTGCCGATTGGGTTACACTTTGCTGTCGATTACTGTAGTCTTATTGTGCGAAACGCATTGCGGTATCAAATCGGTGGCAGAGGTTTTCGTGTCAATTGTGTGGATCTGTGCATCGATTTGCTGTGAATCCATGCAAATGTTATTGAACTCAATGTCTATAACACTGTGTGTTGTCTAACATATCGTATTGTTTTTGTTTCGTTTCGGTGTGTATTCCGTAGGCGTAATGAATGTCTTCAGAGAGTGAGCTCTTCGCCAATGAGTCAACACAACTACACCTGAGCCTCAGATTTAGTTTTGATATTTTTGATTTCTTACATACCATGTAATTATGTATTAGTGGTAGAAGTTTGTGAAAATCAAAAGTTTTACTTCATTTGATGGAAATTACATTTATTATTATTATACATAAACTCCCAAAAATTAGTTTTTAGTTTAGGAGTCATGAACTTATTTTTTTTATTAAGGGTTTGTTAACACTTTCTATGCAATGATTTCTCTCCAAATTTGTGTTTTCAATATATTCCGCACACCTTTCCATTTGGGAAATGTATTTCAGCCCAAAGTTCCCGATTTGCATAACTTATGAAACAATAGCCTTTTAATATCGTAATGCCTTAACTCCCGTTTATTAGCATCATATTAGTGGCCATTCACTCATGAGTTGGATATTAACCCAGAGATGTATTGACCAGATTTGCACATAAAAACCAGTTTAGCGTTTATAATTGAATGTGTTTTATCTGTTTTAAATTGAGCCAAAAGTTTAGCACTTTTTTCTATTTGGGAAATCTTCATTCATTTAATTTAATCAATGATCGCAAACATAATTACATGTTTTGTATGAAGTATTTTGCATTTTAACGGTTAATACAATCTAAATTTGTATTATTTTAGATAATTTTAAAATTTTATTATTATCTGTGACCCAAATCTGGCTAATATTTTTGGTTATACTGTAGACTCGAATTTGAATAAAAACATAAAAATTATACCGTTTATCACATTATTTGTATTGATTTGAATACTTGTCTAAACTGTAAACTGAAATGCAGTCATAAAATGAGTCGGATGTCTGATGTGGTGATACGAAAATCATTTGATCTGAACTTTATTTCACAAAAAAAGGTTTTTTATACATTTAAATGTATGATACAAATGGGAATTTCGGTTGAATAACAGACTTTGTGTGGGCTTTAGAAAAGACACCAAATATTCTGTTTTGTAATACAAAACACCATTGAATTGAATTGATTGCATGTTTGCATATAAAATGCCACAACTTTTTTCGTGATGTTTGCAGAATTGATGGCCAATCGCTTCGCACAACAATCGCTAAGTTGTGGCACAAGTTTTATGCGGATTTTAATTTATGTTTTTACGGTACGAGTGTGTGGTGTGTATGTGTATGTGCTGTGGTTGGGCTGTTAGGTCGACGCTTTCGGTGTCGTTATCCTTGAATCCACTCCACAAACCTCTCACTCCACTCGAAGTTCTTTCACTGGATTTCTCACTCATTTCCAATCAGTCCTCCGATTACCTAACGTTAGAGTTCTTGAGTTTTATATCCATTTCAAACGCCTAGTTATTCGCTAGATTTGGTGTCTGTTTTGCAACTGTTTTCACCACAAAACTTTGTCTGCATTTTTCCAGTTAAATGTTAACTTGACTTTTGTTTTGGTGTGTGAATTGCAGTGACAATTGTTTTTGTTTAATACACAATTAGCGAGTAATAAATGTGCGAAAACTCTGTTGACATCTCCAGGTCTTCCGTCATTTAGACTTTTATTACTCAGCATTTCTTGCCATCAGTTCCTGCTTTTAATCATTTGTGATAATTCACGAAAACTTTGCGCTTTCGATCGATATTTGTTTGTAATTTATATACAATTATAAATATTTTTAAAAACACTATAATTCAAAAGTGTGTGAATTTTTATTATGTTTTTCCGTATACCCGACGGATAACACGAAATATTTCACGTAATTTTAGCCATATATTGAATTCAATATAATCTTTGATTTTAAGGTCTTATCCTTGAATTTACTCTTTAAATAAATTTTAATAATAACTGTCAGAAAGGAGTCGTGTTTAGTGTGAACTTACGATACAATGAAATTTCCCAACACTTTCTGTTCAAATCCACGAAGTTCTCCGACTTTTGAGGAGTTTTTGCTTTCAAACTACGAGACCATTGAGACGAGTCCTCAAACCATAGCACCTAATGATCGCAACAACACAACCACTTCTTCGCCCAAAAGAAGTGTCAATTCTGTTCGCTCTGAACCCAAACACATCAGTCGTCGCAACCATTTTGT